AGGACAAATAAGTTTTTATTTATAAAGTAAGTACATTATTCTGTAACTTATAATTATGCCTTGGAAATATATTATCCTAAAGTTGTCTATTTCATGACGATTATATTAGTAGTTTTTATGCTATAACATGTAAAAGACGACCGTTGTTTGAGAAGTATGAGAACATGAAACCGCTTAAAAACATGAAAATAAAACAAATAAACGTAGAATCAAATTTGTAAAATTTCTATCTATCTATACAGGGTGATTGATATAAGTGTGCCAGCCGTTTTATTCGAAAACCATAAGAGATGTCAAAAAAAGTTAAATAGTAAGTTCCTTGGACTTTTTATTTAAAAAATTGTAGTAGAGTCGAAAAAATTATTTTAGCCGCCATTTTTCCAATATGGCTGCCAACTTTGATTTTTCTTATGGAACACCCTGTATTTTATGATATATTCTGGTAGAAAATGTAATTTTAAGACGATTTTATTCTTGTAATTTTTTTCATAAACCTAACCGTTTCAAAGATAATAATGGTTTAAGTTGTGAAATTTTTAATGGTTTTCGAATAGAACAGCTGGCTAGGCCTTTATCGAAACTCTTTCTCATGTAGAAATTTCAAAACTTTAACCATTATTATCTTTGAAACGGTTGGGTTTATGAAAAAAATCACAAGAATAAAATTGTCTTAAAATTACATTTTCTACCAGAAAACATCATAAAATACAGGCTGTTCCGTAAGAAAAATCAAAGTTGGCGGCCATATTGGAAAAATGGAGGCTAAAATATTTTTTTTACTTGACTACAATTTTTAAAATAAAAAATCCAAGGCACTTACTATTTAACTTTTTTTTATATCTCTTATAGTTTTCGAATAAAACGGCTGGCACACTTATATCAATCACCCTGTATATTTATAGGCAAGCATGTTTCTTTAAAACCTTTTTTCTCAGCTCGTGTGTATCGTAGGGAAAATCTACGCATACCGTTAGAAAGCTATTTTCCTGTAGGTGTGCAGAATCCCTTTATAAATTAAAATAGGCTCAAAAATAAGCACAAAAAATGAATTTGAAATTTTAAAAAATTAACATGGGTTTTATGGGTTGCTATGGTGATGACAAAATAACAACACAATATAAACAGAAAATCAAAACAAATGGAAGACATTCCAATCACATGTTTTATTTACAGTGTGGGATGAAAATAGAGAAGTTTGTACAATACATACTTTTGGTCGATTTTTCGACCACAGGGCGTGCTCTCGTCTAACTTATTGAGCGGAGCGAGCGAAGCTCTTATACGTCGACTCTTATGCATTTCGTAATACGCAAACTCCTCCTAGACGGCTGAATCAATCGTTTTCAAATTTTGCATAGTGATAAAGACTATATCGGTGAGTGCCAACATCTATATGGCGTTAAATAAGTCTCTCAGGAATCCGCCCCACTGGGTCACAAAGTTTCAATGTAATCCTTATGAAAGCAGTATTTGACACATAAACAAAAACACAAGTATGATCAGCTGTTGACTTTTGAATGAAGTAGATAAAGAAATAGCTGATAGCATTAATTCACAGATAAAACAGAAACTGTATGGATCATAAATATAATAAAATGACGACACTAGCTTGAAGTCCGTGACGTAGGAAGTGGTGAAGGAAGTAGTAAAGGTGAGCAGTCTGGAGTGTGGAAACTGTTTGTGACAATTAGATTTAGGTATCAGCATTCCTAAAATGATATGGGAAGGGAGGAAAACGGGTCCGCGACGTAGGAAGTGGTGAAGGAAGTAGTCAAGGCGAGCTGTCCGGAGTGTGGGTACTGTTTATGACGATAAAATTAAGGTATCTGCATTCCTAAAATTCTATGGGAAGGGAGGAAAACGGGTCCGCGACGTAGGAATTGGTGAAGGAAGTAGTCAAGGCGAGCTGTCCGGAGTGTGGAAACTGTTTATGACAATTAGATTAAGGTATCTGCATTCTTAAAATGATATGGGAAGGGAGGAAAACGGGTCCGCGACGTAGGAAGTGGTGAAGAAAGTAGTCAAGGCGAGCTGTCCGGAGTGTGGGTACTGTTTATGACGATTCGATTAAGGTATCTGCATTCCTAAAATTTTATGGGAAGGGAGGAAAACGGGTCCGCGACGTAGGAAGTGGTGAAGGAAATAGTCAAGGCGAGCTGTCTGGAGTGTGGAAACTGTTTATGGCAATTAGATTAAGGTATCTTGTTGGTGTTTTCCTCCCTTCCCATAGCATTCCTAAAATGTTATGGGAAGGGAGGAAAACGGGTCCCCGACGTAGGAAGTGGTGAAGGAAGTAGTGAAGGTGAGTCGTTCGGAGTGTAGGAACTGTTTATGACGATTAGATTAAGGTATCTGCAATCCAAAAATGCTACGGAAAAGGAGGGAAACAGGTCCGTGACGTAGGCAGTGGTGAAGGAAATAGTAATGGCGAGTTGTTCGGAGTGCGAGATCTGTTTATGAACAATAGATTAAGGTATTTGCAATCCAATAATGCTAAGGGGAGGTAGGGAAACAGGTCCGAGACGTAGGAAGTGGTGAAGGAAGTAGTCAAGGCGAGTAGTCCAGGGTGTGGGAACTGTTTTTGACGATTAGATTAAGGTATCTACAATCTTAAAGTTCTATGGGAAGAGAGGGAAACAGGTCCGCGACGTAAGAAGAGGTTAAGGAAGTAGTCAGGTGAGCAGTATGGAGTGTGGGAACTGGAAACCGTCTGTAGCAGTTAGATTAATGTAATTGCAATGCTGAAATGCTTTGAGAAGGGATGGAAGCACGACATAGAAAATGGTGATAGAAGTAGTAAAGGCTAGCAGTGCGGAGTGTGGTCAATGTTTGTGGCAGTTAGATTAACTTATCTAAAATACTAAAATGCTATGGAAAGTGATGAAAACAGGTCCACGATGTAGGACGTGGCTCAGGAAGTAGTAAAGTATGAGCATAGTGGGAGAACCGTCTGTAGCAGTTATATTAATGCATCTTCAATCCTAAAATGCTATGAGAAGGGAAGGAAACAGGCCCCACGACGTAGGAAGTGGTAAAGGCAGTAGTAAAGGCTGGCAGTGCAGAGTGGGGGAACCGTTTGGGTAGTTAGATAAATGTACCTAATACTTGAATGCTATGAGAAGGGAAGGAAACAGGTCTATGACGTAGGATATGGTGAAGGAAGTAGTAAGGCTTGCAGTGCAGAGTGTGGGAATTAAAACACACAGTTGTTCTTTCAGTTTGTCTTTGGCAATTACATTAATGTATCTGCAATCCTAAAATGCTATGGGAAGAGAGGGAAACAGGTCCACGACGTAGGGGGTGGTGAAGGAAGTAGTAAAGGTGAGCAGTGTTGAGTGTTTGAATGGATTAATGTATCTGCAATGCTAAAATACTATAGGAAGAAACTGTAGACTGTAGGTTAAAATGATTACGAAGCACGAATCGATACATATTTCGATACATGCAACCGTTTACAATAGAAATTTACAACTGAGTAGACAACAGCTGAGTTATACTCCATAGAGGCTACAAACGATGTTTACTCTATAGACGCTAAAAACGATTTTTACTCCCTAATGAGTAAAAATGCTACTTTAGACCCGCAACGCACGCATTAAAAACGACTGTTTTTACTGCAGTATGACAAAAACAATATAATATGAACCCTTGATGGCTCCGCTCAATTTTGTGGATGCCTCTGCGAACGCCACCTAGTATTTTTAAGTCTACTAGTTACGTTGCAATAACAGCTCAAACTCAAATAACTACACTTTTTGACCCGAGAATAGCGCTACGCGAAAGGGGACGACCGTGACCACATGAGAAATGTTTTTAGTAAAGACGGGCCATGAGCCTAGGTGACTTTCTAAAGCCATTTTTAACACTTAAAACCGTGCCCAATTGTCCATTAACTCCCATTTCACCTGTTGTTTGTCATGAGAAAATGAACATTTAAAAAATTAAACTATGACGATTGCATTCATGAATCGCAAAACACACTGTAGACTACGTCCATATCCTCCTAAAAGCCGTTGGGTGACTTTCTACAGCCAGTTTTAACGTCTAGAACAGTGTGCAAAAACCTCCTATTTCCCCATTTACTTGTCATGGATAAGTAGACATTTTTAAAACTAACTATGACGATTGCATTCATAAATCTCAAAACATATTGTAGGTTACGGCCATATCGCCCATATCCTCCTAAAAGATGTTTCCTGACTTTCTAAAGCCATTATTAATGTCTATATCAGTGTCCACCTGTCCAAACCCTCCCATTTCACTTGTTATTTGTCTTGAGCATGAGCAAGTAGACATTTAAAAAATCTAACTATGACAAACTTGCATTCATGAATTTCAAAACATAGGCCTATTGTAGAATATGAAGCCATATCTCCTAAAAGCCATTTGGTGATTATATAAAGCCTAAAACCTTCCATTTCACCCGTTATATGTCATGAAAGCAAGTAGACACGTTTTTTTACCTTACGTCTTTCTACATTTCATAAATCTGTCACAATATGTATAGTATCACATTCATTAATAGCATTGTCTATATAATCTTTAACACTAGTGTTTATATAGTCAATGGTAATAGGCTACTGGTGCTACCGCTGATTGCTGATTGATGCTTGTGTAAAGTGGCTAGCAGACAATTTAACATTATAACCACAGACAATATAATATGTCTGTGCTATAACTATGGAACATCAGGAAATCAGCTGTTTCCCCGGCCTCGCTCGCACGCTCGGCGCTCGCCTTTGCCCTAGCTTGTTTTATTTCTTGTGCTATTTTCCATGAATATAAGAAGGTTTAAACTGACTACAAGATCACCCTGTACTTAGAACGGACACACAGCTAGTTCTTAATATTTTATGAATGTGTTTTTATTGCTACTCTTATGCTGTATCACCTTATATTTCGTTATTAGATTCCTTAGGTGGTCTATTGTGGATCATTAGGATGGTCATACATCTGCTAAATAGTATCATAGGCTAACCAACACAAGGAAGTATGTTTAATGTATGTTAATATGCCAAATTTTATAAATTTGTTAACACTTTATATACATAGACGACTCAGTCAATTACGTGAGTGATTTTTCCTTGATGTTCTTCCGGCTTGATGTGTTTGTTGAGGAATTTCAACTGGGCCAAACATTCTTTTATTGGAACTTCTTGATATTCTGAAAACCATATTTTCGAATAAGTAATTTTTGCCAGATTTTTTACGATTTGTCCAACGAAAGTGAGTATTTTAAGCAACTACATCACAGCTTTATGTGATTTAATTTCTAAACAAATACATATTTTAAAATTTACAAATTAAACAGTTTTATAATTGTATGAAAAAAATATCTGTCTTTACAATTTTTAAAGTGTTGCTTAGGGAGTAGATTGCAATGAAATCCATCTTTTCTTGATGTATATTTAAAAGGTAGGTGTTTCGATTGCTTGATGTGGCGTATATGTAAATAGGTCAAGTTGCATAGGAAATAAAATACGTATGTACAAACTGCGATTGTGCATTATACTGTAGCCTACCCAAATTTAATTCAATGATTTTCATAAGGTAATGTGGCAATAATGTTTTGATTAAGGGGCTACTGTAATTTTAATGATTTACATCACTCCGACAAAAGGAAAAAAATCACTAAAAATATTGCTTAGAGCTTTATTATACTTAATGAACTGTTGAATTTAAATGTTCTGGGTTTGTTCTTGAAAGAAAGAAAGATGAGTATCTATTATGCCACGCTATCATCTGATTGTACATTTGTGCCCACAATGATACATGGAATTGTTGACGGACCATGGATGAGAGAGCCACGACTGGGTTACATTCGCAAAATCAATTTACGAATGCGAATCCATAATACTTAAGAAAACTGTGCTTAAAGTTTAATTAAGAGTAAAATACAATTGCTACGTATACAAAATGTCCGTAACTGTATTGCATACTATATCAAACTAAAAAAATAGGTTGATATATTTTTTTACTCAGTGACTCCAAGAAATAAGTTTTAAAATTCCATCAGGGCTTTACTGTAGATTACTTGACAAATCCCTATGAGCTATACAAATAAAGATTTTTGGACCGACGGATAGAATACAAACAATTATTTTGCAAGCTGTATTGAATGGGTTTTCTCACCTTCATCCTCGCACGCGTTTCGCCGAGATAAAGCACAGCTACTGGAGGCGACAGCATATCGTTGTCTTCCATGGTCAAACCCACAGACAAACTCAGATTGGTGAGGACAAGACCTCAAACATGGCCTCAACTTTTGGTTATACCAATCCTTCCAGCGAGCAAACATTTCTTGGCTCGTGTATCCATCCATGAGTGACACTAAAAATAAATTTAAAAAGCAAGGATAAGTGTAACACATTTATTTATTATTTGAGTTGCGTAAAAGTGAACAATACAGTCATATTAAGTACTTTCGTTGAAAAACTCAGCAGATCAAGCGGAATTTAGTTACTTCCTAATAAAAAATTATCAGAACAAAACAAATTAAACATAGGTCACGCCTTATGCTAATGATATTATTTACAATGAGTACGTAAGTTTGTTGCAACAAAGAGCACACAAATGCAAATTCTTTTATACAATTTTAATCAACATAACCACTCAGCTACGTACCCATATAACAAATCCATCCTGAAACAAATCAACATTTATAAATAGTTTACTCCCTAGGGTAACACAAGACACAACAGACTGCACTCTGACACGTACTAAACTCTTGGTTTTTAACAACATTAGAATTGAATATTGAAATTCATTTAAAGCCTTTTAACTATTTTAGTTTTGAAATGGGTTTTCTTAGTTTTGAAGCTTAAACAACTTGTTGAAGTTTAAAACCTACCATCTTATTGTCAGATCGGACTGTTTTGCAGTCATGTAATAGATTTTGCTCTACAGACTTATGAAGATATTAATTTAAAAATAATTTTCAAAATAAATAAGTGCCACAAACAATAATTTTGGAAAATAAGGAGAAACAGAGTTAAACTTTCAAAAATGTAGTTTTTATTTTTCTTACAATTTTAAAAGATGATTTACAATAATTTATAAAAACCTGTTTTCGCGTTTAAAACAAATTAGATAAAAAATAAAATTACAAAACCAAATCTAGACAATACTCGTGCAAAATGATCTAAGTCCAGATAACTACGTGCTTTTCAACCATGATGCAGTATTGTGTGACCGAGTCGTCTGCTGGCACTTAGATCATTTTGTACTACACTGCCTGCTGGATTTACACACTGCACATTCTGTAGGACGCAGGGAAAAGTACGATGACATCAAACTGGCACATAGATCACTTTGTAATACATTGGCGAATAGACTTAGATAATTTTGGAGTGAAAAATAAAAAATTATACAAAAATGGCACTTAGATAATTATGAAATGAATCATACTAATAATATAAACTAGTGCACTATAGCATACCGTAAGTTTAAAGAACCAAATATTACCAAACTGTGTCCTCCCCCATTGCAAACACAAAGCTTGAGTATAACTGCAATAAGCATTTTATACTCATATGCCAACCCTGTACGAAGGACGGGTACTCTGCTAGTATCTTCATATAGACACATAACAGTTAGAAAGAATTGTGGTTTTATATTTTGGAGACCCTAAAATGAAAACTTAAAGTGTCCAGGACCAGACCCAGACGACATTAGTAGGACAGCTTTCTTGCAAGTTGATTTGCTAAAAAGATCTATCCATAATTAACACGTACGCGTGGACTGTTGTTTCTAATAACATTATAAGATAATACGAATTATAACATAATAGGATAAGTGGAAATAGTTAAATATTTACAAGTAAATCAATTTTTTATATTTTTGTATTAAAGAGGTTGGCGGCCTCTTTTAACCTTGCATTTGCCTGTCCACATATACTACAGATCTGTGCGTGGAACGTATCCAGCAAAGCAAGGGGTGAGCCGGTACATTACAAAGGTGAACTGTACTGATAAAATGTTTGCGGCAGTGACCAAGATCCGAACCCACGATATCGATGCCTTTGGCACGAAGTCCGCGACGCACGAGAAGCACAGAGTCGGAGTCTAAATGGAGCTATGGAAACATCAGAATTTACTATTGATTCTGTGTTCGCTGCAAATCATATTGTTTACAAAAGGTAACGAAACACTTTGACAATGTTCCGCTAGAACCAATAAACAATCCAATCACCTCCATTTTTAAATTTTGACATTTTGCTTGAAACATTCAAAGGTAGATTCATAAATTTGTTTCTTTTCTTCATTGACTTCATTAGGTTGATTGCATATAGAATTGTTGGATCGAGAATTATCCCTTTAATAGTTTTTTATTCCAATCAACAAAATATCCACTCTCCTCATGCTATCCTCAGCGGAAAGAAAATACAGGGTTGGGCAAATGTGTGGATACCCCTAGTTAACTTTTTAATGGGTGACACCAGGAAAACTAAACTCCACATGCCTTCATAAAAAATAAAACTGCACTTTTTGGACGGTATCCCAATTTTTCCCGGGACCCCAAAATGGGGTATTTTGGGGGTAGCTCCAAAATTTTAAAAGTAAAGCTCCATCGAGTGACACTTCATTTTAAAGGCCTTTATTAAAGAAGAATATCAGCGAAAACTAGAGGTCTCTAGTACGACATGGTGGTCATTTTAAATTTTCATCAGCCTGAGAGAAACTTTTAATGAGGTTAAATTGTACGATGAATTTTCAAATCGCAATCGTGTAGTTCGGGTGAAATTTCATCTCTACTTCTAAGAGAAACATACAATATAGTCTCTGCTCCATTGACCCACTCGATCAATTACAGTACTAGTTGAAGAGGGATGCTTTCCACCTTCCCTAAAACTCGCCATTTTTAGACCCATTCATAAAAATGGAAGCAAACATGATTGTGGTAACTATCGGCCAATTTACTTAATTTCAACTTTCTCCAAAATATTTGAACGTCTGTTTCTTAATAGACTCTTGCTTTTTTTTATGAAAATACATTCCAATCTTACTACCAGTTTGGGTTCATAAAGGGGAGATAAAACCTCGATGCAGTTTAGCAGATGCAGATGCATGTTTTGTCATTCTTATCAAGAGCCCTAGATTCTGGAAAACAGGGGTTTGCAATGGTTTCAAAGCAACAAACTTCTTTTAAACTATAACAAAACAAAGATGCTCCAATTCCAACAGCTCAAAAAAGCAAGACCAGTTAACTGTTTTGCTAGGGAAAGAAGAGATCTCTTCTTGCAGTACTGCTAATTTTCTTGGTGTGATCTAAGATAGGCACTTCAACTTTCATGACCATATAGAGCACATACCGTATCCAAAGGAATAAGCTTAGGAATTTTTGTAATAAGAGGTCTTTCCAAGTTTACCGATTCCTGTGTTACCTTGAATGCATATTATAGACTGATTTATCAATTATTGACGTATCAAGTGACAGTCTGGGGATGTGAGAGCGTTCGAACAAGGTTTGTCTCCCGTCTTCAAAAAAAGTTTTAAGAGCTGCCTTAAGAATATCTCGTCGCACTTCTTACAAGCCTCTCTTTAAGGAAAACAACATTCTTACATTTCCATTCATATACATTCTCAGTTGTGTGTCGTTTTTAAAAAGAAACTATCATATTTTCAACCGCAGCATCATCCAATGCAATTCACCCTCAGGCAAAGGAACAATATTCAGCTACCTAAGCACAGGACGAAATTCTTTGAAAGACACCTCTTTTAAAATAGTATCAGGTTATTAAACACGTGCTGCCTGAACCCCTTAAAGACGAGGAAGACACCCACAAATTTGGGAAAGTGGTGAAACGCCTACTAGTAGAACGAGCTCCCTACTCTATCAAAGATTTTTAAGTTGTCGAACAAATTAAGGCATACTGTTCTGTTAATTTTAGTATTTTTGAGGGCTTTATATTATAAAGCTTTATAAAGTTTTATTTTTATAATCCTGATTTATAAACCTTGTGATGCTATATAAGACTTTCGTGCACAATAAAGATATTTTGATTAGATTTGTTTTGCATACTCACCTAGACATACAGACACTACTAAAATTCGGAGGGACAACATTGTACTTTAGCTATCCACAACGACACACCATCACAATGATATCACAGTTGCAGGGTCAGCAACTTGCTGTCGTCCCGTACTGAATCACTCCCTAATGGCTCCATTCACACTAATATCTGATCAAAACTGCCATGTGCCAAGTGTTGCCAATTGTAGACTTTTTGACTGTCAATTTAGAAGCTAATTATCACAACAAATAATGCAGTCCCTACTCTCAATAGAACGTTGGTTTAATGACTTGCCTTAACTCGTTAAATTGCCATATAAGGAAATTATTTGTTGGACAACTATACTAACTATACAATGAATTGTGTTATTTATCAATAGACACATGCTTTTTTAATCAGTAACAATTAAAATAATAAACCATATACTCTATTTTGGAATTTGGCATATTTTCCAGAAATCTTGACTTGATTGTTGTTGGAGCAACAATTTGTAAGAGGGGACCAGTGTGCAAATTGTATATTTGAATAGGGTTCAAAATTAATTGGTTTGTCCCTTTTACCTTTCAAAGGTTAAGTTCATTTCAGACAGTTATTAGTTGAATAAAACTACTAACCTAGAATACATTAATTTGTATACAGGGTGTCCCGGAACTCCCTACCAATATTTTAGGGCATTGTTCCTGGGTAAGAAACATACCTAAATATCATATTTAAATTGTCCGGAAGTCCTTGGTTACTCATACAGCCGCCATTTTGTTTTTTTTTCAGTTATTAATTTTTTTCTAAAGAATGGTTAAACATACCAAATGGAAACTTTGCACAAACTTTTATGACAACTAAACAAAGCTACCAAAAAATTATGACCATTTTTTAAATTCATAAAACAAAATGGCAGCCGTTTAAAATTGTGGTAAAATCAACGGTTTTCGAGTTATTTAAGAAACAACATCTTAAATGGCCGCCATTTTGTTTTATGAATTAGAAAAATTGTCATAATTTTTTAGTAGCTTTGTATAGTTGTCATAAATGTTTGTGCAAAGTTTCAATTTCGTATGTTTAACCACTTTTCAGAAAAAAATTAATTAGTGGAAAAAACCAAATGGTGGCTATGTGAGTAACTAAGGACTTCCGGACAATTTAAATATGATATTTAGGTATGTTTCTTACCCAGGAGCAATGCCCTAAAATATTGGTAGAGAGTTCCGGGACACCCTGTATAGTAAATCTACACCATAAAGAGTTACTGAATTTATCTACCTCAATCAGTTAACAATCATAATCAAAGAAGGCTGCTAAGAATTCATTTTTATAAGCTTAACTGAACTTTTCATAAACAAACATTGTTTTCCCCTCTCGTATACAATTTAACTTTACTGTGTTAAAAATTAAACTGAAGTATCAACAGCTAAATTACAATTTACATTATTTTAAAACAGTTCTATAGAAAGTTGACTTGAAAGATTTGCATTAAAATTCAGTATGTTATACCCCTTTTAATTTTGACAATACAGTATAACCCACATAACTGTACAATTTTGTGATTTGTCCATAAAACACTATAAGACAATGGGAAATCGGACACTAATAAAAAACGGCTCAACCAATTTTGATTAAAACATAGTTTATTACTATCCTTGTAACTCAACTCCAAATGGTACAACAGAATCCTGTGTTACGATTGAAAGATTATTTCAACTTTTGTGATTTTATCCATCACCACTGTTACCCACCCCCTCCCCCCCACTTATTCATATTAAGGGTTGTTGACAATCGAATGAGATAAAATACGTGTCAGATTGCTGGTACCATTATATCTGACATTGGAATAATTTACTTAATAAAAAAAAATTACAAACGAGGAAGAAAGTTTGGAGAAGTTTATAGCTATTTACCTTACAAGTGTAGTAAGAGAGTTTTTACATCACACAGGTGAATGTTGTGCAACGAGCGGAAGCGAGTTGCATAATTTACCGAAGTGATGTAAACACGCTCTTGCGTAACGTGTAACGTACAAGATTTTACCTGACCCGACAATATACAGGAGGTTACGAACAATATTTTTCATTATCCATTTCACTCATCTTCTAACAGTAACGTTCATTTACAAACAAAAGCTAGGTTAGGAAAATTCTTCAAAACATAACAATAAAATTCAAGCGCGCAGCTGATTTCTAGCGTTGAACGTCGTTGGCTCCATAGAGGTATATTTTTTAAGTTAAGCACTCAATGTTATTTAAATGGGTTTCATTACATCACCGAGTGAGTTTTTTCCAACTTTACATCACTCGAGAAGTAACGAAGTTATATACATCACGCTTGGGATAGGGAAGTTTAACATGGCGGGTTAGGTAAAATTACAAAACACCTTAGTGTATGACTTGCATGAAGATCCATTATAAAAGTAAAACCTTTTCTTTGTAAATGTGTTTATTGAAACAGTATAGGCTACTGTAGTGATTTGGAAATCATAACAACATAAATAATACAATCTAGAGGGAGAACCCATTCCTGTTATTCCTGTTAAAACTGCTCCTTGACATCAGATCACAAATCACTTAACATTCGTCTTCCATTTCCTAAGATTTACGTGCCAGTTATAAAACATCCTATTTAATGTATATTCCAATGTAAAAATGGTGTTACCGTTGAAAGAATAAATAAATAAATAAATAAATACATCAATTTATGGTTTTTCTTCGAGTAGCAATTAAATAATTTTTCGTTGGTCATACAAATTTATATTTAAGTGTTAGTTACAATACACTGCGTAGTTTACATTTCGTACGGATTTCCTTCAGTTAACAAGCTATCATTTTATTTAAATATTTCCGAACAAAAAATATAAAACTGTACAATATTTTTGATGAAGATTTTTCCTGTTTAATACTCAAATTAGTTTCCAAGCGTCAAATGGTGTTTTATTATATACTAGTTTTTCAATAAATAATGTAAACTAGGTGAAACCCGTCGAAATCGACGGTTACTTTCAAGGCTTACGTTAATTCATCTAACTGCGATAAATTGGGTGAAATATACATATTTTGAACATTTAGCATTGTTTAGAGAGTAATAAGTGTAAAAACAATAATTATATTAATTGCGTTAGTTGCCAAATTTGGTTGATCATTCAATGAATAAAATATTCCCCATACCGCACGTCATCGGAGTTATTATTAGTATGTTATATGGTATATCTTCCTTTGGAAGAACGTTTAAATAGTATTAAAATCGTATTGATGGATCTTTTGTAGTTGAACACTTTCTTGAGATTTGTGTCTGTTACATACCTTAGGATGGCATACTTTGCTTATTTTGAGAGTATTTTGAGATATGGTCTTATCATTTGGGGAAACAGTATAGGCATTAATAGAGTTTTAATTATGCAGAAAAGAATTATTAGAATATTGGCAAATGAATCAAAGTCAGAACACTGCAGACCTTTGTTTTTACAAACTGGTATTTTAACTGTGATAAATCTGTATATATTTGAAGTCATTAGAAATTTAAGAAAAAATATTGATAATTTTAGATTAAGATGTGATGTTCATGAATATAATACTAGATTTAGGGACAAAATAGATATTACTAGATGTAGGTTAGGTAAGGCACAAAAATATCATGATTATTTGGCTGTGATATTATACAATAAATTACCAACTTGCCTAGTCAATTTAGAGTCTGATAAAATGTTTCTAACTAAATTTTACAAATGGCTACAGGAAAATCCCATGTACTCGGTGGATGAATACTTTGAGCGAGAAATTGTGATAGTTTAGGCTTGTTTTGTTATTTTGTTCTGAAATGTTTATTAATTGTTTTGTCTTTAAATTATTTATGATTCATGTTTGTTTAATAGTCCTTAAGCCAATACCACACTGTACCTGACTCGCCATAATTTCTTAATTTCTTATTTTATGTAGCTAACTTATTAGGCCTATTTTTAAAATTGACAAGACCTATTGTATTTTGTATTTACTTAACGGTCAATAAAATGTCTTATTGTCTTATTGTCTTGATTTTATCAGTGTAATATGATTTTATTTCAAAAGAAAATTTTACGTGCCAGTTATAATACATCCTATTTAATGTATATTCCAATGTAAAAATGGTGTTACCGTTGAAAGAATAAATAAATAAATAAATAAATACATCAATTTATGGTTTTTCTTCGAGTAGCAATTACATTTTTCGTTGGTCATACAAATTTATATTTAAGTGTTAGTTACAATACACTGCGTAGTTTACATTTCGTACGGATTTCCTTCAGTTAACAAGCTATCATTTTATTTAAATATTTCCGAACAAAAAATATAAAACTGTACAATATTTTTGATGAAGATTTTTCCTGTTTAATACTCAAATTAATTTCCAAGCGTCAAATGGTGTTTTATTATATACTAGTTTTTCAATAAATAATGTAAATTGCTCCTATTAAAAAAAGGCCTAATCAATTTTACGACTGGTTAGGGTTCCATTGCCCAGTTAAGTTATCGAAACCAATCACGAAAATTCTTTTCACAGCATCTTCGACATGCATATTTTTTGTTTAGACTTAAGATACGACTAGTGGCTTGTAGGGACATAAGTCCCTAAAAAGCTCAAATGTTATTGTAATAGGTACTTAAACAAACTCAGAATAACAATATCTATGTGTCAGGATAGGTATCCCTATGTACACCATATCTTTTGTGTAAAAACAGTTGTTTGTCCGTTTTTGTTTGCTTTATTTGTTGATGTTATTTTCAATAAATAATTTGAATCATTCCAAAGGTTTACCATGAAAAGGGAGCAACATAACATTGTTTGTGAATAAATACTGGTTTACTAAGGTAGCTTAGGTCTTGTGTTTAATGAGGATAAATAAAAGCTTCCCTGATAAAAATTTTAGAAATTGTCTTCGTCAAATAAATATGAAAAGGCAAATATAGGTGTTTTGAGATAAGCTTATTTCTTGGTCAAAATCGCAAAATTATCTCAGTTGTTATTTCTAAGTTAATACTCCTTTTGTTAAGGTTTAACAAAATTAGTGTAAAGCAAAGGCATCCCATTGATCAAACTTAACCCTAGATTTGTTTCTAATCAACATAAAAAAACTACTGGAAGATTACGTGGTGGTATTCCTCCTGAAGGTGCGATTGACTTTACATATGCTATCAAAATAGGC